AACATCCAAATCTGACATCAAATAACAACTGATATATAACACCTTGATTTACAATCACTCAATGAAATGACATCAGGAACAATGCAATTTGTCAAGACCAATTAGTGGAAAAAAATAAAACAGATCCTGATCTATGCCTGCATTATGCAAAAGCAGTTCAGGGTCTATCAGATTGCAGCTGAGTACATCCTATAAAATAGGTTTTACAGTGAAATAAACTGATGGCTAAAATCAGGGGAATGCTAGCAATGACAATATGTAAGAACTTATGGTACTGAACAGAGAATATACATAACATATTCAGAAATTGTGACTCTTTTAATTAAATCTGAATTAATAAAGAGAAATTCATCCTGAAGGCCCCTCCCCACTTCCCACTGAGGCTCAGCAGGAAGCCCCTCCCCACCTCCCACCCTCCATGCAGGCTCAATAATGTACAAAGATGCATACTACTGCATACAGCTGAAACAAATAAACTAATATTCAAATCAGAATATTTTTCACTAATCTTCAAACAGAAATTGGGTATTCTATTATTTATTTACCCATGAGTTTGGAAGCATTTCATAACAGAAGATGAGCCAGATAAAATGTAAACTACCAGTGTGCAAGGTCTGATTAGTTTGCAAGGTCACAACTTCAAACCTGTTAAATCCCAAGGCATTCAAACAACTTCTCACTAGGTAACCATAAAGTCAAAGTTCTAAATATCAGTAGTCACAATTTTCACATCATCATCATTTTTAATCACTGTCATTCAGGCACATGCTTAATGATAATGGTAAAGTTGAAAAAGAACATAGTATAAAACTTGGGTCACATAAAATTCAAGACTTTATGTATCAATCAAAAAATGTGTGAACTGTTGTCAGACATGTTTCATTATCAGAATTAGTTACTGTCAATATATCACCACAACAGCCATCCTATTCAAGTTTCAAATCACTAAACAGCTACATTTAAAATCTGGCAGTGTCTTTTCTTTATTTTAAACATTAATAATATAGAGATCATTTCAAGTTTCAAAATCACTCCACTGCTAGGCTTAAAAGCAGACACTAATTTTAAAAGTAAGCCATGAGGAAATTCACCTGTATCACTAAAATATACCTTGGCCAGTTGATGTGATTTTGGAACAACTATTTAACAAGGATTTTGGAAATTTGCTCACAAATTGTCAAGGAAAGGCTAATTTCGTAATTTATGTGCAATACCGATGCACAATGATCAAATACATAAGGAATATAAAAATTATGGTAATGTCATCAAAAATTCACCCTTCATGAGATGTACATTTAATTTTCAAAGTGGAAGCAGGAGTCTTGAATTTTCATTTGAACCAGGATTTTCTTCTCTTTTACCTCAAGACATTTGTTTCAAAAAATGTATGGATATAATGAGTTCAAGGAGTCTTTTTATTAGATATATCAAACCAAGACTATTTTTTCAAGCTAACCTACACTGTAGGGATCAAAAGGACTGCTGGTTACAATAAGGCTTGCAGCTCTGTTTTTGCTGTTTATTGGAACACAGACATTGTATATGCCATACACTGTTAAACTCCTCTAAACTGAAACAGCATATGAGAATCCGCTTATGACCAAACTTGTTTGGAAGTCCTAAATTTTTCCTAAATTGAATATCATTTTTCTCACAGTAAAATGACCCACCTCATCCCGACTCTAAATGCCAAACAAATTTTGATCCCAAATGAAATTTTAAGATTAAAACTCCTTTCAAACTCAAAACCTCAATTTTAGCTCTTAAGTTCCTGACATGTGCTGAACAGATTAATTATTGCTAGCAAATACTGTTGGAAGCTTATTTGTGAGACAGAGATCCCAAAAATATTCCTAAGGCATGCCAAGTTAAAACAATACTTGAAAACATACCAACAGATTAAAGCCAAATATAGGCTACTTGTCTTTCTCCCCATAAAAAGTGCTAGCTTTCATGGTGAATTAATAATAACTGAAAGTTGGTAGGTAAGCCATTTAAGACAGATCATGATTATCTGCCTGTTATCTAATGGTGAGTGATGCTATTAGTTTGTATAAACATTCATATAGAACTTTTCTTTCAATTAAATATTGAGGCTTTATCAACCAGGTTTGGGGCCTATCTTTAAATGATTTGACAACAAAAACCATGAATAAAGCCAGATTCACTGAAATGATTTTCAAAGGATAAAAATCACTACATACATTTACCAAAGTAGCTATGACAATCATTGGTCTTCACTCACTTGTCTTGATGTCAGAATATTCAGCTATGGCTCATAAGATTGAAGTTCCCTTACATTTTGTCTCATCAATTAGCATGAATTGATGCCAAAACCTACACTGATGAAAGCTGAGGAAATGTATTGTTTTTAGTTATTCTAACAAAAGTGAATTTGAAAAAAATAGTGATGGAATCAAGATAATGAAAACATCATTTATATGGATATTGATGACTGCGTTTGGTGTGTAGCATTAAATTAAAGCTGCATCTGGTACTTTTTTTTAACAATGATGAATATTTTAATACAATCAGAATATATTCAATGAATATTCAAAGTGGAAAATTTGGTATGCATTACAGCTATATTGTATGGGGTAAATAAAGGTGATAGGAGCCATGGCTGGTCAGTGGTTATCCTGTTGGACATGCAACCAAAATATTACAGGTTCAAATTCTTTGCTCCAGTCAGCTACTGTGGTGCATCCCAGGACAGGGCACTTTACTCCCATTGCCCTGAAATTGCATAACTTACTTATGTTTCTGTACCATAAAACACCAAAACTAAGTCAAATGCATCTAGATTATACTCAAGATATTCTGAAAGGAGCATCCCTGAAAAATAACCAAATTTTCATATCTAACATTTTCCAAGCAATTATTCTCAATAACAAATAAAGGATGTGAATACCACAAGTAAACACCTGTTTATACAGCAAATACCCAACTGCAAACAGAATATACCCATATGTTAATCATGGCACTTGTGTTTCCTTCAGGGCCATTATCCTGTGGCAATGCATGATTACCCAACTTTACTGCTATATGTACCTTTTATCTTCACATATTAATACAAACTGCAAGTGTGTTGGACAATGAAGAAATTGTGTTTCTAACCTGACAAACCTTTCTTCACATTCCCTTCTGAGCAAGAATTTAGCATGTCCAATTCAAAGTCTGCTAAAAATACTTTTTGCTTGACAGTCTGTGTAAACTGAAAAGCACATAATGCTGATTTACCAGCACATTATGCCAGTGGAACTGCTGATTGGGTCAACACTTTGTTAGTTTTGCACATAGTATTCCAAGGGCATGGGATATTGTGAATTCCCACCCTCCCAATTTGGGGCTACACAAAAGTTTATCAAACTAACAGTGCTTTAAAAATGAGATAACCTTGTTTGCTTTGCTAGTTTTTCCACTTTAACTTTGCACTCTGCACTGTACTATCATATTTTAATTGGACAATTACACTAATGCAATAAAAAGTTTTATCATGTACTCAATAATTCCTGAAAAAAATTCACATCAGAATATCTGGGTAACCTGAAATGAGCTGCACCATAGAATTTCCATTCTGGATCTTTCATTTGACTCTAATGTACGCCCATTACCTACCTACCAGCATTTACTATAACACTTACTTATGTTTTCCGAATTAATTTTCTTTGCAAACAAACAAATCATTTATTAAATATGATGTGTCTTTGCATAACTTTAGTCCCTTTTGACAAAATGAATCTTCTTTGCCATAAGCTGGCTTTTACCTTGAAAATATTTTACACTGACAGCCATCAAAAACTTTACATTGCAATTCAGTAGACAACCTCAACCTTATAGGTTTTCATTGTCAGACATATTGCTACATTGTTTTAAAATAGACAGTCAATGTTATTCAACACTTTTTATCAACTTTTGTGATTTTGGCCATTGCTAGCACCAAAGCTGAGACATGGATTAACATCCATAAATGAAAACTTGAAGGTGTGTTTTTCACCAAAAAAAATTTTAACAAAAAAGCACATCCAGGGTATGCACAGGGACCTAATTTGGGGGACACAAAACAAAAGTATTGCAGGATGCCTGCAAGACAATTATCAATATGTAATGTTTCTTTGTAGTGGGATACATGCTGTATAAAGAAACAGTGTAAAATATGATGCCCTAATATAGGTTGTGTAAATGCTGACCTGGCATTTTTCATGTCTGGAAGCAGAATACAGCAAAATTCAAATCTATATAAGAGAAAATTCATTTTGTTCCTTTGTATTGCTGTTGATGCTTATATCTTTCTTAACTGATTTTATTTTTTTTTCTGATCTCATCTGCATCAAAGTTGTGAGAGTTTGGATAAAAATTGGGAATTTTATTTTACTCTTAAATTTTAGTTTGAAATTTTCTTGGGTTAGTAATAAAGGAAGTAAGTTTTTTATCCAGTTGCAAAACTACTGCTTAAAGTTAAACTCTGATGTGGTTAAAAATAGCCCACCCTTTCTCCCATAAACTACAAAAAGGTGTCCTGATTCCATAACAAAAAAATCAATGTGAAATGAATGCTGTCAAATTTAATTTTTTTTAAAAGAAAAATATCAAGGACTTGTAATACAAATGACCAGCTTTTCCCGCTGTGCCAGTAAAAAAAATTTAAAATGAATATCAGAGCTGTGGTGTGCAGGCAGTTACATTATATTTCTGATGTTCAACCAAGAAGTACATACATACTTTTGTCTCCTGAAGGCTTGTGGGTAAGTAATCATGCATTAGCATACAAGATTATGATGATAAAACACAGACTTAGCTCTGGGACCTGACTGTGTTCATTCAAATAATAGTACATAATCTGCTTCCAAACATGGTTATGTAAAAAATGACCCAAAAAAAAAAAAAGAAAAGGAAGGAAGGAAGGTAAGAAAACTATATGGTGAAATACAAGATAAAAACAGTATAATCCCTTTTCTCACTGCTTTCCCTCTTAAGCCAAAAAACAAAATGAGAAAACCGCTCCGGTGGCCTAGTGGTTACAGCATCCACCTTGGATGCGGGAGGCTGCAGGTTCTAACCCTGGCCAAGTCATTCCTAAGACAGTAAAAAATGGTACTAACAGCTGCCTCGCTTGACGCTCAGCATTAGGAGGTTAGTGTTAGGACTGGCCCGCCTGGTGTCAGGATAATGTGACTGGATGGGACATCATGCTACATGTCTGCGGCATGATACCCCAGTGCCAGACATCACTATAAAATGTCACACTGCAGAAAATTTTTTAAAACTATGTTAAAAATCTAAATCACACACATACACACACACACACACACACACACACACAAAACCACACAAAACAGGAGAACAGACCAAGGTAGGCCTAATATTGCTCACCTAGTTTACATACATGTAATTTAAAATTGACTTTCACTAAGCAGGCAATTGAGGAAATGCAGGAACATGTAAACCAATCAGATCAAACATGTGACTTCAAGAGTAGCAAGATGCATAGCCAATCAGAAGCAAGATAACCTAATTAACATGCACTTATCTTGCACACTACTTAAACACTCCAAGGGCCTGATGATAGAAAAAGTATTCCAGTATTATTAAAAAAAATCAGATCACAAATATGGCTTTCAGGGCAGCAACAAACTCTACCATCAGAGGTCAAATCACATCATTAACATCCATTGCTCTTGTTCTTTATGAAACCCATCCAAGATCTTCATAATCAAAGCAAATACTTCATATCTGATCAAAACATAATCAGAAATCGGGCATTCAGTAGTAACAAGGTCAGCCAATCAGATGCAAGATCAACTAATTATGTATGCATCCTACTCATTGTTAAACTTCTAGAAGACTTGGATGATATAAGCATATATTCCAAGTTTGATCAGAACTGGATCAGATACTGTATATGGTCTTCAGAATGATAACAAGTATAGCCAATCAGCTGCAAGAAAACCTCATTAATATGTTTGGTTCTCAATCATTATTGAAACCATTAAAAATCTCTATGATATAGGCATATATACCAACTCAGATAAAAATCATAATAGAACCTTGGAATCTATAATGGAAAAAAGATCAGTCAATCAGATGCAAGATTACCTCATTAATATGCATTCATTTCACTCTTTACTGAATCAAGACTATAACCTTACAAACAAGTTCAATCAAAATCTAACAAGAATATGGCTTCTAGAGCAATAACAAGCATAATTCACATTCCAAGTTTAATCAAAACTGGATTATAAATACACAATAATCACAAATACATATAAATATCTGATACTAGATCTTGCTTATCCATCTCCATCCATAATATTGATGTAAAAAACCCATACTGCCAGTAAAAATCAAACTGATAAGATTTTTCATTTATTAGGAGTAGATATCAAAAGACTGTGAAATGCTAGCCATCTGAGGTTCAATCTGCACCATTTAATTCACAACAACAAGCTACATTTATCAGCATCAGTCTTTCATGAAAATACCACATTCATATGATTTTCTTTTTAAGAATAGTAATATTAACAATATTTGGAAAATTTTCAAGATTGCTGTCATGGTGTCCTTGATGGTTACCAGATCTACATAATTATTGTTTAGTACCATGCAGACATTGTAAAAAGTCTTCTAAACCCCATGCTGATATGACTTTCCATACAGGAAGAGCAGATATAACAAGATTTTCAAGATGGCTGCCAAATTAAAATGTCAGATCTGCACAAATTTCAAGTAGTACCTACAAGATTTCACATGTCTTTAAGTGAAAACCGTGTGTGTGTGTGTGTGTGTGTGTGTGTGTGTAAGTGTGTGTGTGTGTGTGTGTGTGTGTGTGTGTGTGTAGAACCATCCATTCAGAAGTAGTGTCAAGGTTTTCTAGAGAGCTGTTGTAGTGGCCATAGTGGAGTCTAACAGCACCATTTTCATGCAGGACTAACTAGATCATGGGATGAATATATATCATGTTTCATGGCAATTCTCAAAGTAGTTTAGGAGGTGTAGCAATGACAGTCTTGTGCTAACAGATGGACAGACGTTATATCATGGCAAACTGGCCACCCCAACAACACTTCTCATCTGTCACCAGCAAAACTAAGAATCAACTGCCATCTATCAACAGTTGTCCACAATTTATCCCAAAAATGACCGAGCATTCTATATTTTATGTTCAAAGCATTTAATCTCAAGAAATAATTAAATATCATTTGATCTGTACTAATTTAAGAAAATGATTTGATTTTTCATCTTTACATTCCAAATTGAAAGTAGCATGGGAAAAAGTATCAGTGAATATTGTACATTCTGCAAGTTACTCCGCAGGGCAGTGGTGTTGGTCAAGGTAGTGACTATCAATCAAAAATGTCATTTTACATGTTGATGTTGTCTGAACTCATGCAACTGGTCAAAGAATCACACCGTGTCCATAAAATCTTTGATTCAGACTGATAATTATTAATTTCTTTTTTTAGTTTTAATCTAGAACATCAAGTTTGGAAAAGATCATTAACAAGAAATAAACAGATTAATCAATACTATGGCAACTATTCCAGCATATGCCAGAACTAATCCCATACTAAAACACTGATAAGATTTCAATCAATTTAAGATGATTCTATACATTGTAACATCACACCACTACTAAACACTCTACTATGAATCTCAAGTCTCTTAAGGGTCAATTACAAAGAAGCCTTGTGCAAATAAATCATCTATATAGTCAAAATGTTTCAGATAAAATAACATGGATAATTGGTCTTTAACTATCTATTGCAAATGGACTAAGTTGGTCTGATATCACTCATACTGCAAGTGACATGTAAGCTTCTTAAAGAAAATTTACACACAAACTGAGGTTGGAAAAAGGAGAAATAATTGTAGAGTTGAGCAGCACTTCAGTAAAATAATAGCTGCATGATAATGATTAAAATATCTCAAAATGTAAATACATAAATAAAAAGATTTCTGTCCAAAAAAATAAGACCTAAAAAGACATCAAGAGCAAGTCCTGAATCATAAAGCTTAAACAGTAGAGATGTTAAAATTCCATAAAAGGTATACATAAAGATAAAGTCAAAACAAGTAAAATCCATTAAACATATCAACCACATTTACTCAAAACAGTCCAAGATTTTCCCAGGTGACAATTTTGTAATGAAGCATCTTCAGATCATATCAAAATACTTCTATGTTGCATTATGAATATTGACATACTTTAAATAAATACATTCTGTCAGTGGCAGGGATCAAGGATGACTCTTAAATGTTTGGAGCACTTAACACCACACTGTCTACTAGTCCTAAAATGACAAGTTGATGTCCCATAGGTGCTAAAGAATTATGAAGAAACAGCCAGCAATTGAATGAGCATGATGTCTAGTACTGTCACCCATGAACAAAATTAAATGTGATCTGATCACAACATTTAGAAATCAGCAATTTGTGCATTGACATGTTTGTTAATTAACATTTTTTGGTTGGTAAATGTCTAGGTCAATATTCAGATATCTGGGTCAACAAATTTATTCGAAGTTAAATATACAAAATATAAATTTAATGTGATTAATGGTTCAACTTCATGAAATGACATAAAATAATGTGTCAACAAGTAACAATATAAAACAACAAATATTGCAAACATTTTTATATGACAAAACTATTTTAATGTAAAGGTTAGGTGTTGGTTACTTCTTGCTGGGCAATTCGAGTTAGAACCCAAGATTTGTTTGTGTCTACACCTCCAGGCTTCTAGCTTTGATAAGCTAGTAGGTCAAAAGAAAATTCATGATGGCAGGCAAACTGAATCTATTAATGGCGCCATTAGTACCAACCAGACATTGTAACAATTTGATTATTAAAAATAAAAATTATTTTTAAAAATGGCAATACAAATATTCATTATTGAGAAGTGATAATATTTTCAAGATGGCAACCACAGTAGGCATCAGACTGGCACCATTTTCATTTAGGAACAACTAGAATTTAGACTGGCACCTTTTTCATTTAGGATAAATAGACATCATAATACCTCTCTTGAAATCCTCATGGCAATATTACTTTTTGTTCAGGAGGAGTAGCAATAACATATTGGACAACAGCACCATTTTCAATTAGCACCAAGTAAACATAAGAAGTCTTTTAGTGAATACACTATGTTGATGTAACCACTCATTCAGGGGCAGTAACTACAATAAGATTTTCAAGACTGACAATATGCTAGCCATACTGGATATCAAGTGGGACAATTTTCACCATGTGCATGTAATGATTTTATGACACTCCTCAGAGCAGTTTATGAGTGGTGATAGCAAACTTGAGCTTACAAGTACCTTAGGACAGAAAACAAAGGACAGACCATGGTAACAGACCATCCCTTCAGATCTTCTGGTCTCTGATGAGTAGAGCTAATAATAGACTGAGAAAGAAGCACGAGATGCCTCAGTGTGTCCTTGGGGAAAGGCACTTCCATTTCAGCATGTTATACAGCCAATAAGGTGTTATACAGCCAATAAGGTGTTATACAGCCAATAACCTGTCAAAAGATCTATTAAAGCCAACCCAAAAAAATGCAAAATATTTTAACTGCCAACCGTTCTAGATAGTCTCTAACTTGTCAAATGAAAAAACTTTAGGGAAACACACAGGAAATGCAGACAATTTCTTTCTCTCTATTCAATATTCAAATGAGTAGATAAAGTTTCATGAAAAGTAGTACTGATATTAGAATTGTACAATAGCACATGTTCTGAATAATAATATGATCTGCAAATAATTCTTTTTCTTCATTAATGTGAATATGATCGAGATGAAAAAATGAATTTTAAACAAAAAAATTATATAATACAAAAAGATGCAATTTCATAGATTTCACAATCCTCCATCAAGGAAAGACAGTCCAACTTAACTGATACAACACCATTTACCTCCCCCTCCAATAAACCCAACAATGGCTGTAACTTGGACCACCTGAGAGATTTTTCCCCCTCCCCCTTCAGCTACCTTCCCACCTTCTCCATTAAGTTTTAATAATATCCCTGGACCTATCCTACATCCAACAAAACATTGCCTCTCAAATTTACTGG